TGGCATACTAATACTATAGATGGAATAATATAATAACAGCAGTAATAATAATAATTGGCAGAAGAAAAGTTCAGTGAATTATAGCTCATTACTGTCAAGGTTTTTAATGTATTCTGACCTTCATAAAACTCACTGGAGTGTGATTTGGAAATGTATTAAAAATTAATACATGTGTACTTTAATCCCTATTTCCAAGAACTAAACTTCTATCAGCAATGATAAGAGAAAATCTATATCTATAAAAATGTTCAGTGAAGCATCATTTATTTTAGTAAAAAGCTGAGGTAGAGTTTAAATAACAATAAAATGGGGAATGGTTGTCTAAATTATGGTATATTCACTCCATGTAATTTTCTGTGTAATTTAAAATTCTATTTAAGAAATAATGCTGCATAAAAGAAAGAGTTATAATAGTAAGTTTTAAAAAAGTAACATGAAAATCAGAAGCATAGCTGTGTAATGTCTTTATCATTCTTGTGTGTCAAGATAAGACAACTGGATTATGACTCTTTCATCCAACCTGCTAGTTAGCTATAGTTAACTTTCCTGCTGTATATTTGCACATCTTGACTGAGAGAACAAGAAAAACACTGGCGAATTTTAGATTAGGTCACAACTCTGAAAATATTTAAATGCTTTTCTCTCTAAAATATTCATTAATGACAGACCCCTCAATTTGGCACCTGAATAAACATTATCACTGGCACTGCATCATACACCAAGATCAAAGTAGTCAACCTAATGTGTAGTCCCCTTTTCACTCTATGAAAATGTCCATTGTCACAGCCCTTTAGAAATCCTCATGAAAAAACTACCCATACAACTTCAGCAGGCAAAACCAACTCTCACTGGTCAGGACTCAGGAGGCATCACTTCTTCCAATTTGACACAATGATTGTGCAAACTCAACCTTGACAGGACTGGCATGTGGGGGAAAAATTGATGAAGGCAGAATATCCAAGAAACAGAAGGAGAAGAGGCCAGGATGGCCAGGTGTGACATTTCAAGAATGTGCCAGAAATCAGCCTGAAGCACTGGAACATCTCTATAAGCAGCGACAGAACCAGCTCCACACTGCCCCCACTGGGACCGCTCAATTTGAAGCAAAGAAACTAAGGCTGGTGCCAAAAGCTGGACATCTGGTGACCTTATTTTAAAGGTCTTAAACCACAAAAATTTTCCTTTGTTCTAAATTCTAAATGCTGGGGACAGCCCGCAGGGTTGTTCCCAGCCACATCCTGCTGGACGTTGGAATGTGGCCCTATCTTGTGAAAGCAATTTTTACAGGAGCAGAATCAAGCAGAGTTAGTATGCTCTAAAGGTTATCTATAGTTTCTACTCCTGGAGCTACTGAGTCAGAGGGAATCAATCTCCTGTGGTCCTGGTCCACAGGCCCAGGAAAAGTGCCTCAGCTTCCAGGTTTCAATCTGGAAGCTGAGGCAACTACTCTATTGTTTAAGCAAGTAAGCGAGTGCCGAAGCCAGAAAAGCAGGGTTAAAATTCAAACAGCAGTTTTTACCCAAGTGTGGTTGCTACACACTCAATTTGAAGCAAAGAAACTAAGGCTGGTGCTGCAATTCAAACTATGACATCCAAGTAGAAGCACTGAATCTGAACTCAAAGACAATGTGGCCTGTATAACCATGTTGCCAAAAAGACTCATGTACCACCCAGACTTGATTGATGATAAATGTATTTCTCATTGGCAAAGACGACCAATCAGAAATCAGGAAGAGACCTTTCTCAGGTAGATCATGTTTTCATATAGGGCCCCTTTGCTATTTAATTCTATTCATAGGTTTAGGGTAAAAAGAAATCCGGTGAAGAAAAATTAAACAATTGGGATAACAAACAATAAAAAAAAGCCCAGTCAAGTGCTGCTAGCCTATATTATGCAAGAAAAATGGCTGCATGTCAAAGACATGTGAAATAATCATACCTTATTTAAAACAGCAACCTGTTAAACTGAAAGGTAACACATCCTGGAGTGCCTATCCTCTGAACGAAATGAGAATTCTCTCTCGAGTGTTTGCCAAAAGCTAGAATTTTGCCTCATACAAAACTGCTTTTCTAAATCAGAGATCTCAAAAGACAACTTCACTTGTTATTCTCAGAAATTATATTTTCCCCCTTTCTGGACATGTATTCCTCGCAGACGAAAGCTGTGGATATCTATCCATAGCACAGTCATCATGTCTATATAAATATTTACCAATTCATATGGCATTATTATCTATCCATCACATTTTAAATTATTCAATAGCAACAGATTTTGAACTAGTGTAATCACAATATCCTAGTCTCAAAGTTAAGATATGCTTAACCAGGATAGCACGAGGGTATATTTCACAAAGATTCTCTGCAGGACAATCAAAAGAGATAGGTTTTCCTTACATCACCTTCTTTCTTTCAAGGAAGCAATCAAACAGACAAGCATCTATCTTGCTATCCTCTTAGTACATTTGGCAGATAGCTTCTATCATGCCTTTTTGTGAAATAGAACAAACATCATTTGGGAAACAAAACAGTGACCCGGGTATAAAGACAGGCTCTTCCATTATGCAGACTGCCATTACTTCTTTTGCACTTACTATTATTTATCCTAACACAAACTTTATCTTTTTTTGTTCTCTTCCTCCTTCTCTAAAATGTAAGCTTCCTAAGAGCTTTTTGACTGTTTTGTACTTAATATATATCAATTGAATGATTTAAGAAATCACTCTCCAGGGAATTCCTAGCTTGTTCTACCATTTGTAGAGACCAGTGAGAGTGTTACATAGAGTAGAAATATGCACCCAAAAGATATTGGTTTTTGGCCTCTAACCATCAGGCTCAAATACAAACCCTGAATTTATAGAGGTCATATGATACTTTTACAAAGCAATGTAAAATTTAAAATATCTATCTACACTTTCTCTGTGTGTATAAATTTTACATCTTTAAGGAAATACATCCTGGAGGGATAATTTAAAAATTAAAATAACTAACACCTCAAGTTCAACAAATATTTTACCAATTAATCAAGAAGGATTTTCCCCCCACATCTACTGGCTGGTTGAAAATATAAGGTTTAATTTCCAAATTATAATTTATTTAACAAATTGCATCATATGTTGCACAAATAACATTGCCTTAAATCAACCAAGGCAAGAATCTTATTGAATTCATGCATTCTTTATTTACTCAATTATTATTGATAGAGTGCATACTATGTTTCCAGTGTGATTCAAAGATATTTTTTTAAAATGAATTGAACAAGAGAGGAAAATATTCTGTTCCCATAAAATTTTTCTCTTGAGTAGTTTGTTTTTAGGAAGAAATATATATATATATATATATATATTAAAATAGATCTTTAATTATAAGAAACAGTTCAAGGTTGATGGTATCAATTGTAATATAGATGTTCTTTTAGATTGGGTGGTTAAGAAAGGTCTCCCTGAAGAGGAGACATTTGTAAAAATCCCTGAATGAAGGGGGGAAAGAATCATGAGAGTACCTGAGGAAAGAGCATTCTCTCAAAGAATACAGCAAACACAAAGGCTCTGCATGGGAAATGAATGGTTTACTTTATCAGAGTGACAAAGACACAATGGAAGAGGAAGTGGTAGAGACAGTCAGAGGTGGGATTAAACTGGATGTTAAAGGCTGTTGTGAGAACATTGGATTGCATTCTAAAAACATTATGAAATTAATGAACAGATTTACATTTTTAGACTAGCACCCTGTCTCCTTTCTGTAGATTAGACTCTGAGAACCAGAGATGCAGGGAGCCCAGGTAGGAGGTTATTGCTCTTTTAGGTGAGAGAAGATGATGGGACGTACTAAGAAGGTAGCAGTGGGAACCATAAGAGGTTAGTTTTGGAATATTGCGGAGGTAGAATTGGCAGGACATGCTGATAATTTGGTAATAAGGATGTGGGAGATGAGAGAGAATGAAACCCAAAAGGACATTCAAGAGTTTAACATGAGGAGCCGGCCTGATGGAGCCCTTTAGTGAGATGTGGAACACTGGGGAAGGAAGGTTTATGGAATCAAACCGAAAGCTCTTTTTGGAACATTAATTTCCTAATGACCAGTAGACATTCAATGAAGGTTATGAGTGAGCCACTGAACAAACATATGCGGGGGCTAAAGGAAATCATGGCTGAAGGTATAAACTTGAGAATCATCAGTGCATAAAAGATTCTTAAAGGCCTGATACTGAGTAAGACTGACAGAGTATATAGGTTGGGGGAGAAAGTAGGTGTGCAGTTGCTCCTGTGGAAAATAATACCTTAATAAATAACAATATAAGAATAAATTCTGTGTTTCCTGTACTCACAACTGTAAATCTACTTTTGCCACACCCTGTATAAGAGAGACAAGATGATGTTTAAGTACTCTGGGGGAAAATAAGCTGCAAAGAAGAAACCAATTCAGACTGAAGGAAAAGCAAAGTACATAGTGTCCTAGAGTCAAAAAGGGAAAATAAATGAAGAGTGACAGTGAAGTGAAGTCTCAAGTCATATTCCCATATTATTGGTAATTCCTGAATAAAGAGATTTCCTGGTGAGTTGAGTCCTTTTGGGAACAATAAGCAATGAAACTATTTTCACAGTGTTACATTAAAATATTATAAATGGGAAGACTCTCACCATGTGTATATTACATTATCAGTTACAGAATATATTCTGAAAAGTTTGCAGAGCTTTGGTAGAGTATTATTACAAAATATTAGTTCATATTTTTAAAAGCAAACAAACAAATAGAAATAGAAAGTTTACACAATGTATGCATAATAGATTTCAATGAAGAATACATCTATAGAACTTTTAAATTCATATTTATTATCAGTTTGAGGAAACAACTTTATTTTTTAACACTAAAACTTTAAGAAATAGTTTAAGAAATACCAGCCTTTAAATATATAATATAAATATATACAGTAATAAATAAACTGTTAAATGCATTTTTAAATTCAGCAGTGTAAAATACAGAATATTTCCATACCATATTTCTTTCTTATATTTTGGTATGCTTTGTGTTAGAAATACATGACCAACACTCTAAATACCATTAAGCTTTTTATTGAAAAAAAATTATTGCACTGAACTATTGTCCAAATAATTTATTGATTAACCTAAAAAATCTGCTTTGCATATATAATAGTGCAATTTGCTTAGCCACAATATAATAAAAATGTTTTGTACAGAGAATACAAAATAAAATTATTGAATGATATATTATATTGCTAGCCTATCACCCAGTTTACTTACAAAGCAAATACTTCAAATAGAATTGAATAAAACAGGAATTTGTTTTAAACCATTACATAAGCAATTTACACTACTAACCATTTTATCATCTCTCACAATTAAAATAAAATAAACTGACAGTATAGCATGTTGGGAAATAAATTTCTCCTTGAAGTTGATTGTTTCAATATGTGAATATTTTTGAAAAAGCACTATTTGAACAAAGATCATGGTCTACAACTGAAAACTATAAGAGTATATTAATTAAGAACACACACTCATGTACACACTCACATGTACCATACACATTTTGTGTATTTTCAACAGGCCTGATTTATGATTTTGCCAAGATGCTTTTGCTCTTCACACTGAAGTGGTGGGGTGCAAAATGAGGCAGTGACTTTAGGAGGGAGTGGAGTTAAGAAAGTGAGTTGGCAATTCTTTCTGATACAAAGCTACAAAAAAATTAATTTGAAAAGACCCTTTGACTTGTCAAATATTGGCTTATTCTAAACCTAATCCATTGGGCCATTGCTTCCATTTTTAATATAGCTTAATCCAAAGCAATGCAATAATAACCTTCAAATGCCCGCTGAATGGAAGAGGTGGATAATATTTTTGCAGGAATGAAATGACAATCTTTGAAAATCCTTTGACCCAGGTTTATTGACAGCAGAACTGCTACCCTGTTTTTCTGAAAATAAGACAGTGTTTTATATTAATTTTTGCTCTCAAAGATGTGCTAGGTCTTATTTTCAGGGGATGTCTTATTTTTCCATGAAGAAGAATACGGTACACATTTATTGTTAAATGAAAATGAAGGAAATTTATTACCTGTATACGGTATGGTAGTACGGTAGTTGTCAACACAAACCAGACAAACTGTGAATCCTACAGTATCAAGAATTTCCTCATTTATTCAATGACAATCATGTCATCAACATCTGGAACATCATCATAACAATCCAATTCCTGAATTTCCTGGTAAATTTCTTGTGACTTCATTTCTTTCAGAATCGGTGGACCAAATCTCTCATGTTTAGCCTGGGGGGGGGGGGGGGCTTATTTTCAGGGGAATGCCTTAAATTTCACTCAGAAGGAAACCTGTAAGTAGGTCTTATTTTCAGTGGATGTCTTATTTTCGGGGAAACACTGTATTTTAGTAGGAACTTCCCACTTTACTGTGAAGTAGTTCCAGTCTGAGATAGGAAGGGCAGTGAAACTGCTTTTCTGATGACTAGTCAGTCACTTGCTTTTTAACAATGTTTCTATTTTTCAAAGAGAGTGCATTTCTCTTCAGGAGTTTAGCAGTATAAGGAATCAAAATTAAACCTTTCTCTGGGCCCTGCTGGGCCAAAGATAAGCATGAAATCTCCTTTGTCCCTAAGTACATTAGCTACAGGCTGATACATAAATGTCAAATGTATACTGATGTGAAGATTCAGGTGCTTTTCAATTGTGCTTTTGGCACACTGGTTCTGATATTTATATGTTTTTCTTCGGAATATTTGCCTGTCTTTCTGAAAACGCATGGGGAAATTTCTAGGGAAATTTGAGAAGTGAGCTACAGGTTTGAGATGATCAGCGATATCATGTCACTAATAAGGAGGCAGCGAACTCTCCCTGAAGGCATCTGGATGTTTCATTCATAGACATCTAGAACACTGGCAGGCCAAGCGTTGCCCTAAGGGTAGAGCATCTTCATATCTCCAATCATTGTTCCAAATGTTTGAACTACATGATGTTTCCAGATCGGCTTGGAAGAGTTACAGTAAACTTTAGAAGCTGTGTAGCTGCCATCACTGGGGACTTTGTAACTGAGCAACCATTTATGCACAAAGGAGATAAGCCAGATCTGGAAATATGGTCCTGAATAATTTTACTGATGAGATGTTCATTTAATGGGAAAGCTTTATAGGATTAATTTCTTTGAATATATTTCTATTCAGAGATAACAGGGAGATTTCCAATAATCCTGGCAGAAACTAAAGAAAAGGAGTGACTGTTAAATCTATTTTCTGTAAGTGAAATAGCAATTTCAGGTGATTATTCTGTGTAATGTCTGCCAAAGGGAAAACTCTGGGAACTAAAACCTTTCTAAATTACTCCTCACATATTAGTCATTTCCTATATTTAACAACATATGTAAAAGTAAACTCAAATGTGGCAGGAAATAATTAAGAGGTTCACTTGCACACATTTCTGGTTTTTCATACAAAACATTTATTTTTGTTAGTCATACCCTGAATCCAGTGAGACTATCTGATGGTGGACCAGTTCTGAATCTCTAAGGAAACTATATAGATGGGTATGTGTGTCTGTGTGTGTGAATGTGCATAAAGAGTTTACAGTCTTTCTTAAAATATTTTCAGTTTTTAATTAAGAATTTATAGTTTAAGACAGACAAAAAACCTTGCCTCAATGAGCCAAGTTTGAAAGAGTAGTCCCATACAGGGATTTATTTCATAAATATTAGTCCATACTCATTAAAAAACTTTAATGCTGAAAACCAACTGTCTAATAATTGTCTAAGTGGAAGAAAACAATGCTAAAAATATAATTTATCAAAGTGGCAAATTTTTAAAAATGGATCTATTTTAAACTCAATATATAATTAAAATTTCCCCTATTTCATTTTCTTTCAAAGTATGATTCACTTAAGTAATATAAAAATTAAAAAAAATAAAAAGTCTGAGCCTGTACTCACTATTTTGGGGGAAGTAAGAGGATGGCTCAGAATGTTCAACAGAGTAGGAAAAGTATGTTGGGTGTTATCAGAAGAAAACGTTAATCAAAATCAAACCCTGTGAATCAACCATCTGAAATTTGGAAATTATGCTAGAGGATAACTATTGTAGATGTGCCATTGATCATAAGCAATATTCTAGAAAAAGGATTCTGAAAATCCCCATTTTTGTTCACCCAAATGTGCAAAGTTCTTACATATTTCAGTGATGAAAATTTTATAACTTCAATTGTCAAATTATTCATATTGACTCAAAACTTAACTTTCTGTGATATTTATCCCATCATTTACCGCTAAAGAGAGTAAATATTATTTTTCAGAGTATACAACTCCATGCTCCTATTCCAATATTTAAAGTTAGAAAGTCATTCCTATTTTTTTTCTTCCTCAATAAGTACTTATTTTTGGCAGTGGAGGACGGTGGGAATACACATATTTTTTTGTCTTTTTTAATATGGCATTTCACAGAATCAAAAATTTGTTTCTTTAGTCAATTTGTGTTAATTTACAGAACTCATGTTATTCATTAGTATAAAAGCAAAATTGATCTGGTCTCTTAATTAGTCAGACCTGCCACTTACGAACCCATTTCAGTTTGTCAATAACTCTCTTACATTTTGTACCAGAACAATACATATGTTTCAAAAGTGATCTAATTTTTCCAAGTTCTAAAAGAAATCCTTAAAGAATGATACTGCACTGCTATCTTACACCATTCAAAAAAAGTAACTCAACATGGATTAAAATCTTGAATGTGAGACCTGAAACCATAATATTTTTAGAAGAAAACATGGGCAGTATACTCCTTGACATGGATACTGACAACGATTTTTTAAAAATTTAATACCAAATATAAAGGCAAAAAAAACCCCCAAAAAATAAACACATGGTACAATAGAAAACTAAAAAGCTTCTTCACGGCAAAGAAAACCACTAGCAAAATGAAAAGACAAATATTTGGGAGAATAATATTTGAAAATCATATATCTAATAAGTGATTAGTACCCAAAATATATGAATGACTCAGGCAACTAAATAACAAAAATCAACCAACCAAATAAAACACACACACACACACACACACACACACACACACACACACACACGATGTGATTTAAAAATAGGCAGATAATCTGTATAGGCATTTTTGTAAAGAAGGCATACAAATGGCCAACAGGTATATGAAAAACTGCTCTACATCACTCTTCATCAGGGAAATACAAATCAAAACTACAATGAGATATCACTTCATATATATTATAGTGGCTATGACCAAAATGACAAAAGGTCAATTCTGATGAGAATGTGGAGAGAAGGGAAAACTTGTTCACTTTGGTAGGAATGTAAATTGCCACAGCCACTATGGAAATCAGTATGGAGGTTCCTCAAAAAATTAAAAATAGAACTACCATATAATCCAACAATTCAACTCTGGGTATTTATCCAAAGAAAGTGGAAACACTAATTTGCAAATACATCTGGCACCCCCATGTTTATTGCAGCATTTTTTTTATATTAGCCAAGACATAGGAACACCCTAAATGTTTATCAATGGATGAATGGATAAAGTAAATGTGTACATATACATATATGAATTAAATATTTATTATATATAACATAAATAAATCTAGTGTTTCACTTTTCTACCTTTCTCTATCACTGAGCAAGTCACTGAATGCTCTTGTCTGAAACATTTTATTCTAACCAGCCTCCTTATCCTTACCTTGACTCCCCTAGAGATTACTCACAATACAATAGCTGAGTGATTTTGATAAAACTAAGATGAATCATGTTGATCCTCTGCCAGAATTTTCCAATAGCTTCTCATCTCACAATAAAAGCCAGGCATTATAATGGCTCCAAAATTACTTGCCTCCCACAATTCATTCTCTGAAACCTATTTCCAAGCTGCAATGTACTGCTATTTCTTAAGCATGGCGGCACACTCAACAGGTTGTTGAAACCTGATCTTTTCTTAGCTTAGAATATTCACTCTTTCACTTCAGGTCTTTGCCAAAATATCGCTTTCACAGTGAAGCTTCCCCTGAGGACCTGATTTAAAAGTAAACTTTACTCACTTCTCCCCCATGACCCCCTGTATGTGCCTTTCCTACTTCCTTCCTTCAACAGCATTTATCTTCTGATAGACTACGTAGTGTTATATATTTCACTTCTCTATTCTGCTTTTTGTCTTCCAGACTCAAGGACAATTAAACTACCCGTGGTCTTATTTTTTGATTTTTTTTATTATTATTATTTCTCCAGCAATTGGACTACTGCCTAACTCATGGCCCTTAATAATTATTTGTTGAAGGGATGAGAAAGAAAACAAAGTAGATAAGTCAGAAATAAAATACTTTTTTGCACTATTTGTTTTTAGTATACTTGTTATAGTTACTAGTGATTGTCTCTTCCTTTTCATTAAACCGTTCTGCTTAAAATTATATCTATAAATCAGTAATATCCATATTTAATATTTTTCCCATTATAGAAATAGAGATAACGTTTTCTAGCTCTTTCCATTCTCAAGGACATTTGGTGTCATGAAGCCCACTTTTGGAAATTCTATATGTGAATATTCAAATTCATTTGAAGTGGCCAGAAGTCATTTTCTCTGTAGTGTCCAAATTTCTTATACATGTTGTTTTTATGATTTCCACACTAAACAACTTTATTAACTAGGAAAATAATAATGAAATCAGATTGTATTTTTTTAATTAAATTATTTGCCCCTAGCAGTAAGCAATAATCAGAAGCAAAAGGTCAACTTCTTTTGATTTTCCCAATAAATAGAGTATTAAAAAGACATTTAGCTAATAATCTCTGTTGATACATGACTGTTGTGTTACTATTTATGGATGTATGGCACAACAATTACTATGAATATATTCTCTTTTCAATTTATATTAGATTAAAGGACTACACTTTCTACCTCATTGGAATATTTTAAAATTATAGATTTTCTCTTATAATGCCACAACTCTTACAATTTCCCACCATGGAGTGTAAGTTATCTTTTATTTAAATGTCAAAGTCTGATTTCCATAGTTTCAGATAGTATATCCAGTGAACATTTTCATCACCCATAATACAAGATAGTCATTTCAGTGCCATCAATTCATATCCATCTATCTTTGTTAGTCAAAATTAAGTGCCAATTAGAGTTTCTCTGGTTTAACCTTCTGAGAGAATAAATTGTCACAGAGACAATTATAAAAATTAATAGGACTTCTAGTGAGTTATCCATAATTACTCTGTTTTGGCTCTATGTCAACTTTGCATTCTGCTTTAGAAAATAGTCATCCAAATTACCTTTTTATGTGCTGGAATATTACTCATTAATTTTTATAAGATATGTTTTATTTATTTTATTTCCTTTTAATTCAGTCAATATTTATCAATGTTCTTTTATAATCACTTTTTTTTTGGATGTCAGTGCAAGAATAGAGTTGTTGCTATTTAATGCTTTTCCTTCATTTCTATTCCCTTTAAATATTTCTATTTCATTTAAATAAGTTAGACTTTTTTCCTGTCATATCCAAGTAGAAATTCCCACCCCATAAGTAATATCTGAGAATATATAAGAAACTACAAATTTTTATCTTAAAATCTCTCTCTCTCTCTCTCTCTCTCTCTCTCTCTCTCTCTCTCTCTCTCCTCCCTCCATTCCCCCTCTCTTTTACTCTTGCCATCTTTCACCAGCATCAGAGATGTTTTCTCCTACTATTTTCCAAGTATTAGGAAATTAACCATTCATTTCCCTTATCTATCCATGATACAGGAGGTACAATGGGGGTAAAGACAGTCTCTTCAATGAAACTAGACAAATTTCTTATACCACATCCAAGAATAATGGGTTAAAGACTTAAAATATAAGACTCTAAACCACAAAACTCCTAGAATAAAAGGATGGCAGTAAATTCTTTGACATTGCTCTTAGTAATATTTTTTTCAATGTATCTCCTCAGGCAAAAGAAACAAACAAAATGAACAAATGGGACTACAACAGAATAAAAAGGTATTGCTCAGTAAAAGAAACCATCAACAAAACAAAAAGATAACCAATCGAATAGAAGAAGATATTTTACCAATGATACATCTGATAAAGGGTTAATATTCAAAATATATAAGGAAATTATACAACTTAATACCAAAATAACAAATAACGTAATTTAAAAATGGGCACAGGACCTGAATAGACATTTGTCCAAAGAGGACATATAGATGACCAATAAACATATAGACAGGTGCTAAGTTTTACTAATTATAAGAAAAATACAAATTAAAATCACAATATTGCCTTTCACCTACAACCTACAAGTATTGCCGAGGATGGGGAGAAAAGAAAACTTTCATGCACTGTTGGCAGGATTGTAAATTATTGCAGGCACAATGGAAAACAGTATGGAGGTTCTTCAAATAATTAAAAATAAGAACTACCATATGACCGAAAAATTCCATTTTGGGATATTTGTTTAAAGAATCCCAAAACACTAATTTACAAGGTCATAATGCACTTCTATGTTTATTGCATCATTGTTTCCAATAGCCAAGATATAGAGGTAACCTAAGTATCCATTTGATAAGCAGATAGATAAATAAGAGGTGTACATATAGACAATGAAATACTACTCAGTCATAAAAAGACTGGAATCTTATAATTTGCAACAAAAGGGATGGACCTAATGAGCATAACTACACTAGGTAAAATAAGTCAAACAGAGAAAGACAAAACAAACAAACAAATAATACTACTTATATGTGCAATCTAAACAATAAACAAAACAGAAACAAACTCATTGATACAAACAAGTTGATGGCTGCCAGATGTGAGGGGACTGGGTGAAATAGAAGAAAGAATTA